TAAAACACAGTGCCCAAGGAGATTGGTTTCATCATATCTCTTTAAAATCCAGACCATTATTAGATTGTTTGATCATCTCATGTTTTATATATCATAAATACTTATTATCTCTATTATTGAGCATTAGATTGTTGCAGCAGAAACTATATTTTCCTTTTTTTTTTTTTTTTCCCCTGAGAAACACTGAGTATCTAGTCTGTACTACCAGAAACTAATAATAATTTTTAAATTCCTATAAAACGAGGCTGAAGAATGTGTAGCTTTGCCCTGTAGCCAGATAATGGCATTTGTTTATTTCCACAAGGGAGCAAAAGCATTAATCACAGGTATAGCTGTTATGCCCTGATAAACAAAGTGTTTTCATTTTGGCTCACTGAGCTGATTCAGTGACTTTGAAATACAAGAAGTATCAGGTGCTCTCTGCAGGGTCCATTAATAATGTTGCAGAAACTTAGCCAACTGCCCATGCAAAGTAACAGCTGAGTTACGGGTCTGCTATGCAGATGTGAGCTGTAGCGATTTCTAACAATTTGAAAAGAAGAAATGTTGCCTGTTACTTCTAATGGCTTCTTCCTGCCATAAATGAAAAAGATCAAACAAACTATTTTAAAGAACCACATATGTCATTGTTTGACAAGACAGAATCAGAGCTAAAACACTATGTACCACTGATTTTATGACTACAGTGTGAAACAGGTATTTTTAATCACTGATGATAGCGGCCTGTGCTCAAGTCAGCCCATTTTTATCTCCTTGATGATAACATCAGCAATCCCTCAAACTGACGATAGCAGAAGATTGGGCTCTGTTTGCCCCTCTGTTCCTAACTGCCTTCTTGTACCTGATGGTTTCAGCTGTCTCCATAGTCTATGTAGTCATACTTGCCATTTGAGATGTTTTTCACAGACGATAAGATTTTTCCCATTTATCATATTTGTAATTGTCCCACGGAAGACTTATTTTCCTATCTGAAAGGTCAGCCTTCTTGAAGAGCTTGGAAAAGAACTGAAACATCCTAGACACAGACATAAGCCGGGGCACTGATGGATAGTTTATGAATTCCATTTTTCTTGCAGACTACTTCTCCTACTACCTATGCAGCTTTGCATGTATTATTTGTTTTCCTTATGTTTTAATCTACCATCACTTTATTATAATCATTATTTATAGGACCTAGAAATTACCCTAATGGACCATGAGTCCATTTTCCTGCATGCTGCATAAATATGGACTAAACAGTCCAGAGAGTTTGTAATCTAAATATAGGACAAGAGAAGGGACAGCATACAAACAGTTATCTTGTATTTGTCGGCAGACAAGTAGAAGAGCAGAGTTTCAGGGACTTAAAGAAGATTACAAGAGAGTATTGCTGCTGTTTGCATCAGGGGCAGCATGAAGATCTTGTCTGAAAATGTAATGGGTGAACAATGGAAGCTGGACCCCTGAGAGGGAGTCGACAGACTGCACTGGTATGTCCCTTACCTTGTAGGTGTGCTCTGGGGCTGAATATACTAAACATTATGAACCATTCAAACACTAGGATCGTGATAGTTTTGTAAGGACCTGGATATACACAGCTAGGCACACATCTCAAATATTGATTGGCATCAGCAGGATATTGCTGTAATAGGTAGGCAAGTAAGAAACCAGCAGCAGAGTTGATGTACTTTAGAGAGATGGGTTTTTCCACAGTGATCTGGTTTTAGAACCTAAAATAATACAAAACTTCCAAGTTCCTCAGGCAAGGGAAAAACCTGCATGAGGACGATATGCCTAAGGGGGCCTTTTTCTTTGTTTACATGCTCACCGAGGTCCCCAAAGCATCAGGATGATGTGATTGACTCCAGCGAGGAAGGTGAGAAGGGGAAGGAGGTGAGCTTTGTGGTGTACGTGGCAGCAAGGAGCACTCAGAAGAGAAATACCCCTCTTCCAGGGGTGTTTCCCCCTTTCTCTATACCTGAAGACAACCGGGCTCTGAACTGCACCTGTGTAGTGGTGTCGGCTGCTGCAAAGGCGGGGGCTGGCTGGCACGTGGGGTGGGGCAAGATGGGTCACCCAGCCCTTTGCTTTCATGATTGCCATCTGTGGCCTCTCTCTGCCTTGACTAAAGAAGACTGCTTGCCACTGGATCCTTATGGAGCTAAGGGGTATATGCTGTGGATTTATCCAGTGCCATAATACTATGTTTTATTCTCCTGCCAAGGGCATAGTGGTGAGTCAACCAAAAAGACAAAGCTCTTTGCTTCTGCCTCTGACTGCTTCACTAAGGTATCCATGTCTAAAATACTGGATTCCCACTTTACAGAAATATATTGTAATGGTGTCTAAACTTAATGTATATCATAGCTACACTTCCATTGTTCACAGTAGGTATCTATTAATTGTTGCTAAAAGACCTAGCTATAGATGATCCGATAGTCAATCTGGTTCTTCAATACAGAGTTTCTAGGTGTATGAAAATTATAGATTCATGGAAGTATCATTTTACTAAACATTTTAATATCTCATGCATTCTATATTGGATTAGGATATCCTGACAAAAAGTGGAACTCATCTCCGGTTTATTGTACTATTTATATGTAGATAAAAATAAGTAACTCTCTGAAGTGCTATAAAAGATTAGCTGACAGATGAAACAGCTTGGTCTGAGTATGGAGTTTGCTGTACAAAGATACAGCGATAAAAATAAACGTAATGGCTTCTTAGAGGCTGCAGAGGAGGGTAATGCCAAGCTGGGATCGTGGCACATTTCAGAGCTCCTGCTGCCATTCCTTTGGGCACGGTGCCTTTCTGTTATCTTACATGGCATTGCTGTGAACTGACCACGTAATAACGCTGAGGAGAAGTGACCTTGTGGACGCTTTGTACAACTAGAATTAATAAATGTTCTTGACAGGGTAATCGGTTAGTTGGTTCATTTAGTACATGAGTTCAGTGGCTTAATAGGCAGCAGTGTGAGAAAAGTTTTACTTCATCCTGTTGTGAAAACAAATGATTAGCAAAGAGCCACCTGACGGCCTCACTCGGCCTCTGAAAATGAGCCCAGTTTTCCCTGTGCTGCTAGGCTGCTGGTGGCCCTTTGGGTACTGGTGTGGTATCTTTGCCAAACCTCTTCAGTTTTACTGACATGAAGGTACATGCTTCTGGAGTGCCTTCTTACAGCTCTTTTGTATCAAGGGGTTAGTTTACAACTCATTCACACATTAATTTTCATCATTCGTGCGATGATTGGGGAAGAATGTAGATATTCAGTGCTAAAGTATGGCACTCACAATTTTACCTGCTAAGCAAATATCACACAGAAGACTAGTAGGTTTGTCCTTGTTGTAATCAGATATTCTTTAAAAAAATAATGAGAGCTCGTTCTCCAAAAAGAAACAACAGCTGCAGAAAAGAGCTGCTGTAGGTAGCAGAGCAAGGTGTCTGGAGGGGTCCTGTGACAGAGGGACACCTCCATTTACAGTATTTCTAGGCTGTAGGGCATCTGTTAGGTACATAGCAGAAATATAAAAGTTACGGTTTTGGTATGCACTGTCTTCAAAGGGTGAAATCAGTGACATTGATTTATTTTGCACAGGTCTTTGAAAACCCATTATAGGGAAAGTTTTGTGCACGCTTACAAATATGACTGCCCACGTGGAACCTGGATGAGATAGCTTTTTAACAGAGTTCATTTTTTATGGAAATAAAACTTCTGAAGTGAATGAACAGAACTGTCATTTGTTTACATGTGCTATTTCTGTTACAGGGAGGTGCTATATACGTATCCATAAAATGTGGCTTTCAGGTCACATTTCAGAATCCATTTAATCCCATCTGAGAGCTACTGCTATCAGGGGTTGGGGTTTACCTTTTGCCCCTTACCTTCAGGGGTTGGTGGAATAGTTTTCACCTGGTCTGTGAGTGGAATGACCCATTCCCCAGCTGCACACACACTATAAATTTGTGGGGCAGCCTAACACATGCTCTTTGGTAAAGAAAGTTGGAGGTAGTGACTTGCTGTTTTGAGAGCATCTTATTGCTAGCTTAATTAGCGTCTGATGTGAAGTTATATGAGACTATACTCTGGTACATTTTGGGTGTTGTGGGCATCTGGAAAGATTCAGTGAAAAAACGCAAGCAGAAGTTAGTTGGGCTTTTTGATTGCCTTTTTGTCCCCCTTTCTCTTCATAAGCATGCAGACAGGATTGCAGGAGTTAGCTCCCTTCCCTTTTTTCACAAGGGAGGAAGAAAATATTTGGAATGAACTATTTTAAAAAGTGAGAAACTGGGGTCTTGTATTGGATATTCTTCCTCTTGCCTTGGTGTGTTGGTGTGGGAAGCTGAGTTTGTTGAGCTTGTTATTATCTCTTTCAGCTTTCTTGGTGTATTTTCCTGCCTGGCAAGCTCTGGCTGGAGAGCAAAGCAAGCCCTGAAGAATAAAAATTGTGAAAAATGGAGAGCCTGCTGCTGTTACCTCAAACTGCACCTCAGACAGCATAGAGGGCAGGTAAATTGCTGTATGCCAGATGTGACTTCCCCCCCTCACACCCACCTCTTCCCCCACCCCCCGCCGACAAAATGTTTTTATTTCTCTTAAGTAAAATAACAGTTCTGGCCGTTCTTGCAACATCTCTGCTGTAAGATAGGAGTCAGGAAACTGTGTTTTTCATTCTGTTGGGGGCTTGTTTGTTTGACACTACTATCAGATATGGTTAAAAGGTGAGTTCTTATGCGACCCTTAGCGAGACAACCGCTGAACTATAATTTAGTTTCTTAAAATTGCAGGAAATTAAATTGCAGAATTTTGTTCTCTCCCAGTCTTTATGTTGTGACGCTTTGGCCGTGGCTACGCTCCTGGCGTGCCTTTGCGTTTAGGTTTACGGTCGGACTGGATGATCTTCAGGGTCTTTCCCAAGGCGGAGGGTTGAGTGGTGGGGGGCCGGGCTGGACCTCAGCCCGCCCGCCCCTCCCGGCTCTGCCCCTCGGGGCTCGGCATCCCGCCCCCAGCGCCCTGCCTCCCCCGGGCAGGGCCCTGCCCGCTGGGTTTAGGGCAGTTTTGTCCATGACCGGGCTCGGGAGGGATCCCCGCCCGTCGCGGCCGGCTCCAGGTAAGCCCGAGGAGGGGGGGGGCTCGGTCCCCGCTGCCGCGGGGGGGGGGGGGGACGAGCCGGCTGCCAGCGGTGCCCCAGCTCGGCTCGAACTGCTGCCGCCGACCGGCTCCGGGGGGCGGGGGGGGAGCCGGGCAGCCATCGGAAGTTCCCCGAGCCCCTCGGCTCTTCGGAAACCTTCCAGAGCGGCTTTTGCAGGAGCCCGGTGACGGGAATTACCCCGGGAAGCTCGGCTTGCCGGCGCGGTGCAGCCCCGGCTGCTGCGGGAAACGGGGCGGGGGGGGGGGGAGTGAGGGGGGTTTTGGGGGGAAGAATGAGGGGTTTTGGTGATGTTCCTTCGGTGTGTTACTCCTCACGCTGTGCGTGGTGTTGAAGGCGCGCTGCCAGGTAATGTACTGCTGTCTGCTAGGAAGAGAAGACTTTAAAAAACTTAGTTTATCTAACCTGATGGTGTTTCAGTGGTAAAAGGCATTCTTTCATAGTTTAGAATTTGTGGAATTACAGTACAAAACCAGTTTTGATGTGTAACAATGTGGCTTATTTATGCTGCCTTCAGCAGGGGGGCTTTTAATCTTTCTGTTAATTTAAAGACCTGAGCTACATAATTATTTCCTGCAAAAATCACAGGGGCAGTAATTGCTTGGACCCTTCTTTTCCTGTTGTGCAGAGACCTGCTAATAGGATTTTTCTCTCAGAAAAAAGGTCTCCTTAGCAGCATTTAATGTCAAGAATGAAGCAGTGTCAGGTAGAAACCGAATATATTTTGATGCATAAGTGTTTTCTAAAGAATTCCAAGCTTAGCTTTAGTGTGTGGTGCTTTGCAAAATATTCATGAAGTGACGTATTAAAAAGTAGAAACATGTCCAAATGGTATGTGCTTCAGTGTGAAAATGAATGAGAAAATATTAAAGTTAAAACTTGAAGAATGATTCGAGGGTGCATTTAGAAAATAGAAATCCAGGTTGAATAAATAGGGGAGGTGACAGAAAGAAAAGTATTTTCAAGTGTGTGTGGGAGGGAATCACATAAGATTTTCCAGCCATTTACAAATGGTAAGAGAATATGCAAATGTATTTATTTATGAATTTGCCTGAGGGGGTTTTTGCATGCTCTGATACTCTCTCTTGTTTGGCTTTACGTGGTGCTGAGGTACAAGTCCAAAGACGTGAGGGGCTGGGGTCGTGCTATCGGGGCGGTTCAGGCCTGCCGGGGTCCCGCTGGCCGCACACGTGGGGTGAACTACGGGAACGGGGAGCTGCGGCCAGGGAGAGAAACTTGGGGAGGTGGTGGGAAAGGGGCTGGGGCTGCTGAGCTCCCTGCCCAAGAATCTGTGTGCCGGGGGGGGGGCCTGTCCTGGCCCAGCATGGCCACCAACCTCAGCTGTCTGGCTACCAGGGCTCGGTGCTTCCAGCTGTAGCATGCTCAGTTCCTCGTTGACTTGGTCAGAGTTTTTCATCTGAGAATTTGCATTTTGTTGGCTTGCTGTGCCCAGAATTTGGGGGAAATGTGGGCAAAATGAATCCTGTATTTCTCAGAAGAAACTTAGGGGAAAAAAATTGTATCTTGCCTATTTTCAGTACTTCTGACCTGTCACTGAACAATTTCGTTTCCCACGCTTCAGAGAAGGGAACTAAGTTTTCTTTTGCATTAATTTGCATCAAGGATGTGCTTTCTGTTGTTCCCTCTGAATCTTGCCAAGTCTGGCCAATTAATAAGTCTCTGAAAAATGCACATGCTTTGATATTTTTTTTTTTTTTTTTTAAAAAAAAAAAAAGAAACCTTAATGTCTGAAGTTTCTGTCCTCGACATACTGGAATCTCAAAGAACTTCCAGTTGTGGCCAGGCTGACTCTGTGCCAGTCCCAAAGCGTAAATGAAGATGCTGCCTTTGACCTGTGGCTTCAGATGATAAACCAGATTCTCAGCATCGTGGCTGGTTCCAGTTGGCCTCAGCCAGTTTGGAGCTCAGAGCTGGCCCTGGCCGAGCCCACTGTGGTGATTTGATAGGAGACTTGCTGGCTTGAAATGGTGAAAATAGATTTGTAAAATAATTAAAGGGTGGGATTGACACAGAAATGGAATAGGAGTTCTGTGAGTGTTCTTTTAACATAATTTTATATGTATAGGATTTTAATGTAGAGTGAACAAAAAGCAAAGGGGAGAGGGGGGGAAAAATAACTAGTCACAGTTAGTTCCTCTTTGTTTATAATGTTTTCCTAATCCTAGTTATTAAAATTAAGTTTTAATTTATTTAGAACTTATTTGCAAAGGAAAAACTGTGTTAGGAATATCCCTGATGTAAAATTTGAATATGTCTCAAACTTTATTCTTTGAAAAATTCCCTCTTAGTTTATATTATCGGAGGTTTTGTCTTTTTGGTACTGTGATATCAGCTCACTGTTTCTGCAGGTATCTTGCAGAACGTTCTGGAGAGCCAGATTTCCACAGCTTGTGCTGGAAGTGTTGGGCAAATGCAAGGCAATACTGATTTCAGTGCTACAAAAAAACCCCACCACTCACTCCAACCCCGGACGTGGCAGTAGCAGTGTGCTCCCTGGTTAAGGGGCTCTCTGTTCCCTGCCCACCACCCTGCTGCCTTTCAGCAGAGTTTTTTTGCTCTTTTTTTTTGGTGTACCATCTGCACACTCAAACAAGAGAGGGCAAATGTAAACTTTCTTTAAACAAGGGATGTATTTATCTCAAGGGTATGCAAGAGATGAATTGCTTTGGATATTTCCTGCCCATTTGTTTGGGTCTGATTTAGGTCTGATTCAAAATGGTAAAATCAATGTAAAGGTGCCATTTACTTTACTGGGCCTTGCAAAAAAAACCTTTTTAAAGGATAGCAACAGAACTTAATGTTATGTCAAATTATGTACGTCTTTGAGTGAATAAATGTACTTAAATATTTCATAAGTAATCTGACAAATGCATTTTCTGGTGACCTAGATGATCTTTCACTATCAAGAGGGTGATGATTTTATGCCTCAAAGTGGTTTTACTTTTTGGCATTGAATAATGCTAGGTGCTAATGAACACCTGACAGTGTGATCTGGAAGTGAAATCAGTTACCCCAATAGTGAGGATGACACTCCTGCTGATTCAGTGGGTTTCCTATTCCTCTAGTTGTACAATACACATCGAGCTGTAATGGGAACCAGACGTTTAGAAAATTATGCTCAGATACAGTCCTGTGCCTCATCACAAGTGACACAGAATTTACATTTTTTTTCTCTGTGTGCATGCATGGGTGTAGACTATATGTCTGAGTGAGATTTATAATTTTTTCATATGCAGATTAACAGAGTGCCTGTACTTGCTCTCATAGATATGCATCGTTCTGTGAATATAAGCCTGGCCTGCCCTCCTGTCAGACCGGTGGTTTGTGCGGGGCGGTACGGGGTGCAGGGTGAAACATGTTCTGCTTGTGCCTTGTGCCTGTTGAAGTGACCGACACTCTGGCTGGCTCAGCCTGGGGATTTACCGTGAGCCTTCTGCTACCCCCAAAGGCTTCTCCCATCTGACGCTGGAAGCACTCACAGAATAATGAGGAGTGACAGAAGGTGGTCCAAGAATGAATACTTTCAAACTACTGTGTGGGAATACGTAAAGTGTTTGAGCTTGGAAAATCTTCATACAATGAAGTGTAGAAAATATGCAGATAATCAAATGAACTGATCATAAGCAACTGTAACAGACTGTTTAAAAACATGGACTTGCCAACAGTAGACAAGGTGAAATCAAAGTTAAGCCTACCAGATGCTTTCTCTCGCCTTCCTCTCAGTTTTTTCCAGCTCTCATCCCCTTTTGACAGGCATTTTATTTGCCTTTTTTCCTGTCTTCTGTGATGTGACCAGCTTCCACCAGCCCTCGGAGATAAACAGTGGCAGTCCTGAGGCTGCTTTAACCAGGCCTTTAAGTATCCTGGAGTGAAGTCTATCAGACTCAGGCAATCTGAGGAGCTGTAATTTATTCTGCTGTCTAAACTGTACTTTCCCTGTTCCAGGGTGAGTTCTTGCACTGTGGTGGTAGTTTTCATTAATGACCAGCTTGTTTTTGGCTTTTTGAGCAAAGACTTTAGCCTACTTGGCAAGAATGCTCTTCCTTCTCACTGAGTCAAGAATATTTAATATTCCGTTGTTTTTATTAGTGTTTTCTGGGGTTTTGAGTTTTGTTTTGTGTTTTGGGGTTTTTTTTTGGGTTTGGTTTTTTTTTTTTTGTATGTTTTTTTTTTTTTTCTCGTATCTTGGGTTTGGGGGTTTTGTCCATCTCTTTGCCTGAACACCCCCTGTTCTGCTGGATCTTACGGAGTCTGCCTGCCTCGGCACAAACTCTTCCTTGTCACACTCTTACTTCCAAACCCTAATCTCTTTGTGAAAACAGGTCCTGACTCCCCTAGTTTCCCATCTGATCTTTATCTTCCTCTTCATCCTCTTCCAAAACAGATTTTTTCGGTTTTTTTTTTTGGTGCCCCCTGATTAATTGCCTTTACTGGCTCTTATTTCAAGCTTCCTTGCTAGGACAACCTTTTCCATCATTTTCCCTCTGGCCCACCAGTCCAGCCTCAACATATTTTTACTCTACTCTATTCCACTTGATTCTAACTCATCTCTGAATTTGACGATTCCTTTGCTCCATGTGACTGTGATCTGACCAGCACAGAAATGAGAGCACAGCTGTGGATGATGCTGGGCTCCTAGAATTCCAAGAATAGCCTTGTAAACTGTGGATTGACTGCCTGGAAACTTTATTACATCAAGCCACTACTGAATTTATGCAAAGTGATTGTTCAGGGATTTAAATTCAGTGCCAAATTTAGTTTACTGGGATTTCACAGATAAATCAAAACCAAGTACTTGGTGCAATAGCTGTTCCTTGCCAGATTGTTAGTTTGAACTTTGAAAGGCAAGAACTACTGTTTCATAAAGGATTGTCAGAATATTTTTTTTAACCTTGAAGACAATGTATTATCCTGAGACTTGTTCTTAAGCAGCTGGAATG